CCCCCCGACGCGGCGTGGGCGAGGAGTTGAATCTGCGATTCGATCGCGACGCACATGCGGGTGATGAGGGTCTCGGTCTCCCCCGTCCGGGGTGGTCCCTCCACGGCGGTGTGGAGGGCGCGAATGATCGCGGGGCCGCTTGGGATGCGCGCGGCTTCGCTTCCCGGCGTTGTTGGGGCCGTTCGGGCGCGTTCGCGGAGGCAATTTTCGAAAAACGCGCCCTGAATGTCCTCGTAGAGGTCGATCAACTCGTCCTCGGTGCGGTTGGACGGGTCGGCCGCGCAGCGCGTCGTGGCTGTGGTCAAAATGCGGTTCGTCGTCTGCAGGTCGGCGAGAAAGGCCGCCACGCAGGCGTGGACCTCCGCCCGAGAAAGTCCCACAACAGGCGTTTCAACCTCGGTCATGTTTGCGGTGGTGGTTAATGCAATTAGAATCTTCTTTTTTTCCTTTTTTCCTTTGAGTATGAGTGATTTGTGGGGTTTACTTGTAATAAATAGGATAGAATAAACCGTAGACGATGAAGCCAAGAAGAAATGGTTAAAAATTTTAGATACTTCGGAAGTGACAATTGGGTCGTGTTGAGGTTGCCCTTTTGAAAGGTGCGTGATCGATCGCGCCCATGATGATGGGGAGGTTTGACGTGTTAATAAATACAGTTCAATAAAAAGAATGGCAAAAAAACACTGTTTACACGGGTTTTTTTTCCTTTTTATGCTGCAATTATATCATCTAGAAAAAGGTTTATGACCAACTATCATGAAGAAAAATAACTGAATCAATGATCGCATTTGGATCTTGCTGCTTCGTATTCCGTTAGTATGGATCCCCAATTTGTGAAGATCGTTTCAATATTTCTCCTATGAAAAATGGTTTTAGTGAAAAATTGCAGTTCGCATTAGGTATATATATTTCGCCATTTTATCGGTATGCTTAACTTTATCCACAAACTTGTTCGAACACAACAAGAACCCATTTTTTTTTTAAACTCCCCAGAAAGATAAGAGGAGGCTTTAGTAATTTTTCCCCAATACAATAAGAGAGGTGTGATTCCATACCCCCCACACATCCTCTTCTTTCCTTAACCTCCGCCTTGGTGTTGCTAATCCGCATTTCTTTTCGGGGAGGGGGTGGTATTTTCCAGAAGCCTCAATCACACTTCCCCCCTTTTTATTAATCCAAAGGGATATCTATCTAACAATCCATATCGATCTATATAGAGAGAGAGATAGATCGATATCAAGAGAGAAATGAGAGGGATGAATAGCCATCCCACCCCTCCCCCCTTTATTTTTTTTCTATCGATTTATCCCTCTCCCGCCCGTCTGCTCGACCATCGCGTCGATGATGTCGTTGTCGGCCATTTCCAAAATATCCGGCGTCTTCTTCTCGTCGATGACCATCCCGTCAAACAAGAAGCGAATGCTATTCCGCGAGATGCTCTGGTGATTGCAGTAGGCGTCGAACAATTTGTGGAGTTGGGTGCTGCGTTTGATGCGAAAGAACATCGACGCGCCGTCCGCGTTGACGACTTTGAGGAGGATTTGTTTTTTGCCCGCCGCGTCGTCCTCCGCGCGGTCGCGCTTGACGCCGAGCACCGCCCCGTCCACGTCGGTCTTCGCCGGCAGCGGCAGCTCCTCCTCCCCGGGCGTCGTGTGGGGCGGGGCGCTGTCGTGGGAACTCTCCCGATCGTTCGCCATTTCGCCGCAGGAATAGTCCGTTTGGTATGATTTTTATTAAATGGATCAATATCAATATCAATATATATATATATATATATATATATATTGATATATTTATAATGTATGATAAAGCGAAAGGTCTGTTCTATTAGGTATCGTATTCGGTATGCGAGGACTGCTTTTTGGTTCTCCTTTGCCCCGCTTGCGTGTAGCGCGTGGTGAAGATCACGAGGGGGTTTCTATGGGTGTGCAGTTGGATACTTTTCTTAAGATCACAGAATAAATCGGATAAAATGGAAATTTTATCAAAAGAAAAGACATTTTGGCAGGAATCACCTTCGCAATGACAGTTAGAAAGGTAGATATTTTAAAAATAAATCATCCCTTTATCGATTATACTCCTTTTTTGTTGTTGTTGTTTACTACTGTGTGAACAGTAATATAATATGTTGTAAACTCATTGGGGTGAGGTTTCGTAATCGAATGATTGTTGACGATCCCACCTCATTATAGTTCTGAGAAGGTCCACCCAAACTAAATTTTAGGGCATACCTGACATGGTTATGATTATCCTTGCCTTTTTAAGCCTTAGAGGGATTTTCCCCAAAGATTACACCAAAGTCCTGCTTGCATTTCTGTAGTCATGAAGTATACAAGGGGTAAATCATATCGATAAATCGATATCGCGTCTTTACTCTGTCACCTTGAAAGGTGTAACGATGAGATCCTGAAAAATTTAGGAGGAAAAAAGGACAGGCGGACTAAGTTGGATGATAGTAGAAAATATCAAGGGAATTAAGTTCAATTTCTTCTCCGAAACTTCCTGAATCGCATGACTAGGATTTTTCGAGCTCCTAGTGAAGCAATGTCATGGCTGCGGCGAATGAGGTCTTCCCGTAGAAGACCCTCCTTTTCCTTTTCTCAGATTAGGCCTTCCTTCTTTGTGCATGTCTTCCTTGTCCTTCGGATGTTTTAATTTACCGTATGCGGCGCAATTGCCGTTTCAATAGATGCATCGAATGCCTTTGGTATTTCCCTGACGGTATATCTTCATGCCGCTATTTGGTATATGTTTTCTTTTTTAACACCAAGCATATCGATTCAAAGGCTGACGTCCCCTTGAAAACTAAAATCCGAAAGAGGAAGGAAGCGCAAGCAAAGCCATCAAACTGTAAAAATAAAAAAGGAAAGAAGAATGAGTGCAATTTGTTATTGGAATTGCCTTTTAAGGTATGGTGTTGGGAACTGGATCTAGTATAGAGAAGGAAAAAAACGTTTCACAATAAGAGAACGGAAATATTGAAAAAGTGAGCCGTAGCCACATTGAGGCATCTAAATCCACCTTAACCCCCTTTTAAAGACAATAGAAGTCAATTAATAACCGACAAAATATACATTTACCATGACTTTTAGCCTTGATAAATGGGACATATTCCCTTAATCAGGGTTATAACAAAAAAAAAGGGGGGGAGTTAAACATTCCCTCAACCTTTACCCTTCCCCTACACACACACACACACACACACAGACACAGA